GAATTACTACTTTTTAGTTACGAACAACTGAATGTAATTCTGATTAGCTTAAAGGAAAAGAGCATTTATTGGAAGGTTATTGGGTGGTTCCTGAGAGCCACAGGAATGAGATTTAGAACAGACAGGATCTGGAGAAATTCTGGTCCAGGCAGCACAAACTCCTTCACCATGACGCCTCGGGCATCAGTGGCAGAATGTGCCAGCTCCGACGGTCTTTCCTCTCAAGAGAGAGGATGATTCACCTGAATTAATATGCAGAGTCCCTGAAGAAAGCGTCCAATTGGCTTAGGGCATATGCCCACTCCCCAGCTAGTAGCTGATAGGGTACTTTGAATTACAGGCCTTCCAAGACTGCACACGATGGGAGAGACGCAATTGAAAAGGATATCTGGATATTATTGCCAAAGGCGTATTAATAGATGCTTAGGCAGCCAAACAAAACAGAACAAAACCCAAGAAAATAGTTCATATCCCTTTCATAGCAAAGAAAGATCAATTCACAGAAGGCTTGGAATTCTAGCAGGGAGGAGTCTGCACATGGTCTAATTTGGAGCTCTTGTAGATTCTTAATTTAGAAAGTAAAATGGCAGTTTATAGCTTCTTTAGAGGAGGGCGGGAAGGAGTCAAACCACCCCCTCGGGGAAGCCCTGCCATGGAGCCAGTGGTGGTCTCTCGCAGGCCTGCGTCCCTCCCACTGAGCTGCCAGGTCTGAGTGTGCCCTCTGAACCCGCGGCTCAGGAACTTCTGGTTTCAAAGAAAGATTCATCTATCCCACAGCTGAAAGCATGCTGTGGAATTCACTCAAAAGATTCCTTCATCTGAATGTTTGTAACTTTTTAGTTTATTATGAAATATTAATATTTCAAACATACAGGACAGTACAGAGAACGACGTAGCACTTGAAGGCCTACCACCCAGTTACCCAGATGACCGTTTTTGAAATAATTCCATTGAATATTATAAAATTTTTGGCCCTGGTCAGATCCTGTGTGTAGCTAGATGCCAAGAGATGGGATGGCCATAGGGATGGGGACGGGGGAGGCAGACCTGTGGACTATTGCAGATAATTTGATCATCAGACAGGCCTAAGCACTCATACCCCAAAATACTAAACACAGGCGAGAAATGGATCAATCATTTGGAAGGCATTAATTTTAAAAGGAATTTTTCCTTAAGATACTTAGTCCTAACTCGAGTTGCCCTAACATGAACACTTATCTTCAAATGATTATAAACATTCACTTCAAATATCTGTTTTATCCCATGTAGGTCTCGAAGTAGAGACGTAATCATGCGGGAGGGATAAAAATGCGCAGGGCGACTCGGCCCGGTGCTGATGTGTGCGCTGGGAAGAACAGCTCTTTACAACTTTTTTTAAATGTATACGCTGTGACTAGGACAGTAAAGTTAATGGGATGAGATTTTAATCTTCAGAATACAAGCAAATGATAACTCTAAGATGTTAAGGCTGGTATCTTTTCTTCATTTCATAGCTATCAACTTAATTATACATTAATATGGTTCAACTGCTGAGTTCTAGATGAGTGAACTCTGAAAAAAAGCAAGCCAAGACACTATGTTGTTAATTTTCACGTTAAGATCATGCTTCCTTTAGATACTCTTCTTACTTCACCTGAAATAGCGGTTTCCCACCAACTATGTTTTCCTTCTCTGCTATTTTTTCCTTCTGTTTTCACTCTAAGAGGTCGTTTCCTTTTGTTCCTTGCATGTTATACCGTAAAAGCATCGGCCACAGATCAAAGTAATGCCTTTTGTTACTGGCAGCTTTAAGGAATACAATCCTTTTTAAAAGTTATTTTCCCCAAGTGATAAAGTATGCTCTTATAAATTCCAAAATAATTTTATTTTTTAATTAGCCATTTTAACAATTCATTTCAATGAAATCTGTACAAGGCATTGGCTGGACACTGTGGGAGGCATAAGGGTAAAGTGACTTGCTCCCTGTTCTCCAGGAGCTCGCGGTCTTGGAAAAGAGATCGGTCACATCAAATCATCCTATCGTGGGGCACAGTGTGACAAGTGACAGGAGAGAGGTGCAGAGAAGTGCTGTGAAAGCCCAAGGAAGGAGGGATACTTCTGGGCTGATGGTCAGGGAGAACTTCCTGGAAGGAACAATCTTGATAAAGAATGGGAAAAATCTGGCAAACTCTACGGCAGGGACAGGTATTCCAGGAGGAAAGGATCTATGAAGAAAGCCCCAAGGGCAGGGATGACTGGTGCACTTGGGGGTCCCAGACATATGCTGCAGATGACACAGGAAAGGGGTCAGGCCATCACGGTCAGCGTGATAAATGCATGATCAGGCTGCAATTTATTCTGGGATAATGGGCAACCACTCAGTCTAGGCTTTGAAACTGAGGAAATGACACGATCAGAGTAAAATTCAGCTCAATTCAGCAAAATGTGTTGAGTGGTTACAATGTACCCAATCCAGGACTTGGTATGGTGGATTCAGAGACACATTCTTGGTGCTGCCCTCAATGACCTTAGAGTCTAGTGGAGAACAGATGTCTAACTGGATAGTATCAACAATGTGCAATATACTGAGCTCTGCTAAATGGAATAAGCCAGTGGCCTGAGGCTTTCTCTGTACTTTGAGTTCCTACATAACAAACCACAACCTAATTCAGTAGACAAACTGAAACCTAGTTTAGGAGTATATTTTTTGTAACAAATAGCTGAGTTTCAGCCAATCACAGACAGCTTAGTGTCAGCCAATCACAGGCAGCCAACTGATCAGATCAAGCCCAAATAAGGCAAAGGCCAGGCTGTAGCCAATTAGATAAGTTCTCTACTTTGTGTCTGTGTTTGGCATATAAAAGCTCACTGCTCACACTGCTAAATGGAGCTCTCGGAACCTGCTCTAGTTCTGAGTACTGCCCAATTCATGAATTGTTTTTTGCCCAAATAAACTCTGTTAAATTTAATTTATCTAAAGTGTTTTTTTCAATAGCTCAAATAGATGTATTTATGGGAGGTTATGGGAGCCCAGAGAAAGTAATCTGGGGACTAAGGAAGAAGTTGGTCCTTACATGAGTCTTGCAAAGAGAGTAGGAGTTATTTGGACGAAGAGGAGAAGGAAGGATATTCCAGTCCAAAAAAATATGGTGAGCAAAGTCACAGAGCATCAAACAATACTGAATGTGCAAAGAAAAACAGAGGCTCCATGTTACTAGTGGGTTCAGTGTGAGGCAGAGAGAGGTGATTGAGGGAGAAGACACACAATCCATTCTCAATAAACATTATTGTTAATAATGTTTTCATTTAAGTTTTTCTTAATGAATTGAAGCAAAACATTGAAGAATACACTGCCATGTTGAAACCTGAGTGCTGGTCAATTATTTATGAGAATCCTCAGTTATTGATATCAATACCCTAATACAAGGAAGCAATTCCAGTTCACACAAGGCTGAGACAGTCCCAGCGTGGTACAGGAGCAGAATCCATAGAAACTAGGCAATGGAAGAAGACACCAAAGGAATTGTCCTAAGGCACCAGCAACTATGTTTTTTTCATCTGTTTTTTTATGAAGAGATGCCAGAAGCTAATATCAAAAGCTTAGTGAATACATCTGCTCTCCTTAAAAAATTTGGAGACCAAACTCCCCTCCATGTGAATGGCTGTAGGTATCAATCTGTCATGAAAGGACATCCTTTAACAATAGTAATTATCTGGCACCCTCAGGGGCAGGCCAGGGGAGAGGCATCTGCAACAGAATACAGGGCTAATGAGACATATTTCTGTCTGAACACGTTGCAATGCCACAAATGTAGCCCTTCGTCATTTTCAGTATTGATCAATTGAGCATAGAAGGCCAAAAGAAGATTCTGAATTTAGAGTTAAAATCTCTGCTAACTGCCAAAGCAGGTTAGCTTTTTTCTTCTCCAGCACAAAAATGAGGTAGTTACCAAGATTTTACTCAACTCCATTTATTTCAAACCCCAGAGAGATGGTCACCAGAATTTATTATTTTGCAGTCTTTTCTGCAGGTCTTCTGGACTGCAGCTCCTTAGCTTTCAGGTCTGTCTGAGGAGCTCGGCAGTGTTGAGGTTGGCCATTAGCATGACTGGCCAGTATCCTTAATCAAGAAGTCATCCCATAGCAGCCAGAACGTAGGTGGAGGAGATGACTGAAAGGAAAGGAAGCCAGTCTTTGAGGAGATGCCCAAGGCATTAGAGTTGTTCAAACCCTTTGGAAGGGACTGTGGCGGGGTGACAGCTTTATGGGTGTGAATAATACACAAGGACATTTTGGCAGGAGATGCTCGTGAGTTGTTATCTGAATAAACACAGGCTAACATTTAAAAGAAATTTGCCCTAGAAATTCATAAGTCTCTCAGGGGAGTATTTGCAGGAGAAAATGAAAAATTATGTACTCTGATTGGTTTATTTGGTCATTGCCCTAAAAATCACAAGACAGGAGCAGAATGAATATATATGTATATATTCATATTCATATATATATTCATATTCACACATACACACAAAACAGTGCTGCTCAGAGTGTGGTCCAAAGACTGGCAGCATCAGCATCACCTGAATCTAAAATCACCTAGAAGTGCAAATCCCCAGGCCCAACCTAGGCATGCAAGAAACAGAATGTCTGGGCAATTTGTTTTAAGAAGCTTTCCAGGCGATTCTCACATATGGTGAAGTTTAAGAAGCACTGCTCTAGACCTGTGTTGGACGTGTCAATAATAACCACATCTCTCTACATCCATCTACTCACTAAACTAGCCTGGCTTCTTTTCTACCTTTAGTTTTCAATTCTCTTATCCCGATAGTACCTAATTAGACCATGTGATTATATATAAGAGTTCAGTTTGTAATTTTTGGAAAACAATTCTATAGAAGCAGTAAAAATACTCATTCGGTGTGCAACAGACAAATCTCATTTATAACTTAGAGCAAATATTTCTGTTCATTTCCAGGATAACAATGATATAAATAAAGAAATGAAAAAAGGAGGAAAACACTTACATGGGCTATAAGTTGCTCCTGGGAAGCTTTTACTTCAGCTTGTAATTTCTCAATGCACTGAAAAGGAGGGAAGTTTAGAAACCAAGTGCATAAATCTTCCTTTTACATATTCAAAGTATTCCAAATATAAATATGTACCAGTTCTCAAGTCTTGTATATTATCTTAGCTAGATTTTTTTGAAAATCATCATTGGAGAAATCATTCCTCCTGTCCCTATTCCCTTCCCATTCTATGGAAGAACCCAAAGATAAAATACACAGATATGTTAACAACTAGGAAATGCTTAGGAAAAATAATGTTGGCTTGATGTGCTATAGTTAATGCTAATACTCCCTGTATCATACCTATATATACACTTTCACATAAAAACATATTCATATATTCCAAAGGCAGATACAAACCCTTTGGGTTAAATAAGAGGTAAATTTATATAATGATTTATACACACACACACACACACACACACACACACACAAATGTCCAGAAATTTAGAGATTAATTAGTTCTTATAAAAAAATGCCAAATTTTGTGATCCGCTTGTTTCACTACACAGAAAGAAACTATTCTTTGATTAGGTTCAACTTTGACAACTAAGAAACATTTGTACAATTAATACCATTTATAAAATAAACAAAATATTCATCTAATGTTATTCAAAAAGATACATGTCAAACAAACTTTAAAACTACCAGTAACAAAATTAATTTTTATATGTAAATATTCACCAAGGAAGAAAATTACTTTTAGCAAATACAAAATATTGTTATTTATCCTTGTGAACTTAAATATGAACTTCTGACCCAGCCAGAAATGGCTTTGTAGAACTGTCAGTTTATATAAGGTTAGGTAACTTTTGAAATAAAGATAATTTCTTCTACAACATATCTGGTCTTTCACCAGAACCATTTTTTCATGAGGTTCCTCACTGGCTTCCTTATGGACCATCGCCTCTAGTCTTTCCTCCAGCAAGGAAACTTGTTCAAGGAGTTTTGATTTTGTTCCTTCAGAGACTGCAAGCTAAAGACATTTTCTTATCAAGGTATGCAAGTACAGTGATATTTTAAAAGCTCTACAGTATCTATTAAATATGAAAATAGCTTCTGGAATATTCCTCATAGATGACAAATGATTAGCATAGCAAAAGAAGAAGAAAACATTGATTTCATTTATTTTTAATAATTACTATCTTTCTGGCCAAGAGATGAGACCACATAGTTACAATAGGCCAAGAAATTTCTAGTGCAAGGATCTCAACACTGATCCTCACTGTGTTTCAAGATTATGCTTTATTTGTACAGCTGAGTTGGAAACCTGTATTGTGGTTTACATACGGTTCTTGAAACTTAACTCTTGGGAGGCTACAGCTCTCTAGAAGGAGCGGGCAATCTGACTCCCTTGAATGTTCACCATACGAGCAGCGGGGTACACAGAGCTAAAGGGAAATGCAGGAGTTTCAAGTTAAAGTCTGATCAAAGGCAGATTCTATGCTAAACCACAACCAAAAAATTACTAGCAGTGGCTTTGTCTTTGTTTCACTGTTTGTGGATTCCTCTTGAGGAAAGTGGTAGTTTGATAGTCCCTAGTCCCTTAATTCCCATGGAGAGCCCCTGGACTAGCTTCTCCTTTCATTCAGACAGCTCATTGTGCTTTTTCTCCAGAGCTCAGCAACAATTCTGAAAGAGTCCCTGGAAAGGGACACACAATTTTGTATTCATTGCAACTCCCAGTGTATCCTCTGAAGCATGGATTATCTCTAAGTATCTCTTTCATGTTCCCCTGAGTGTTATTGCAAGGCACACTGTCTCATCTTGGAAAAATTTACCAAATGGGGAAGCATGAAGAGGTCGATCTGCCGTAGAAATAAGCATATCATAAATACTGCCCATCATATATACCATGAGCACACCACATATACTGGCCCCCATCCACCCCTCCACATGATCATTCGCTGAACAAATGTTTATTCAGTCGGCACCCTCCACAGCCATTGTGTTATGTGCTGGGGATTTGTCAAGCCTGATGAGAGGGCCAGAGGGCATGCACTTGTCATGAACTGTTGGCTGTGTCTTTGGCTGTCAGTGGCCTGGGAGACCTGCGGTGCTTCTTATGGCACTAAGTGGTTTGGGATTAGAGTCTGGCATCTCTGAGCACCCTTCCATTTTAGTAGAAACACAGAATAGTGCAACGGTTAAACACACAGACTCTTGAGTCAGACCCTTTGGGTAAAAATCTCAGTTTCACTATTTACTATCTGTGTGATTTAAGCAAGTTGCTCAGCCTCTCTGGGCTTGATTTTCTTCTCTGTAAATGGTGGTGGGGATGGAAAGAATACAACTTATCTCATGGTTTGGTTTTGAGGATTATGTGAGTTTATACAAAAGGAGACACTTAGAACAATGCCTGGAACATATCAAGCACCTAGTAGCTCTTATTATTCCTCTGCCTCCTTCAGATAACGGCATTCTTCTGGGTTTTATCTAAGTACTTGTTGTTTATCAAATTGTAAAACAAAATATCTGAAGATATTATAATCCCTATGAGCCGTGTACCCTGAACTCAAACTGTATTTGGTTTGCTCACTTCCTGCAACCACTCAAATCTTCAGAGAAAATCACTCTCTGTGTCTTGAAATTATTCACTCTCCAATACATTCCCTCTCAATCAGGCCCATTTTGTTCCCATACCCTGTCCGACCTGTAATCCATCTAGTCACCAGTGTTGTATTTCTCTTAAATCTACTTTCCATTGTTTTCAGGGCTCTGTTCATTCACTCCACAGGTAACCATTTATTCACTCATTTGTTAAAGAAATAAGTTGGACATTTATTATATATAAGAATTCGGACATAGAAAATGAGAATAATAATGTTCATATCCTCAAAAAACTTATACTTTAGCCAGAAAGTCAGACAATTTAAAAACAGCTATTATATAATATGAAATTTTATAGAAGAATAAATAATATTAACAATAATTAACATTTTTTTGGGCATTTACTATATACCAGACACTCTGCAGAGCCTTTTGTTTTAAAATTTATTTCAGTATCTCAGTTTATTTTCAAAACACTTTGAGAGGTTCATGCTATTATTCTTCCCATTTTGCAGATAAAGAAACTGAGTTTCAACAGGGTTATACAACTTGCCCAAGGACATAGCAAGTAAGTGTTGAAACTCAAGTTTTCAGTAGTAGACATTGGGTTTGACTCCCTAGATCCAAATTTGACCCCCGTTCAGAAGAAGGCCCTGGTAATCATGACAATCCCATCCTCCTTGTTGCTGACTGGTTCAGGAATCAGGGCCTACACTGATCAAAGCCTGGCTTTCCTCTGGCAATATTATTATACAAGGAGATGTGACCGAATTTGGGTCACCCACACTGCACAGAAGTGGAGTGTGACTTGGAGAAGATCTCTCTCACCTAACAGATATGAGAGCTACTATAGGCCTCCTATAAACATCAGGGAAATCAGGTATATGATGAATCCATATTTAGAAAGGAAGAGTGGACAACAGAAAAAACTTGGATTCTTGATGACGCTGGTAAAGTGCTTTATCAACCAGTCTTCAAGCACACCCTACCTTGCAACTTGCACTTACTAAACCAATCAGTTTCCTTATTTAAGGAGCTGAGTTTTCTATTACTTGCTGCCATAAGTGTTCTACTAATATACTGTCTAGTTCCAAGATTCCATGCTCTTGATGACTAGTGAGAAAAGTCTATGGAAAACAGCAAACTAACATTGATTTGGTAGCTATGCTACACCAGGCATTCTGTTGGCTGCTATGTATGTATTTTACCTTATTCCATTGCTCAAAACCTTGCAAGCAGTTTTGTCTGTATTCTTTATCATCATTTTAAAGATTGAGGAATTAGATGCTTTAATGGTGAATTAACTTGCATAGGATCTCACAGCTAACAAGAAGAGATTAGATTTGGATCTATTATATATTGGTCTGCCTTAGTCCCTGGATTTTATATCATACTCAAGCCCTAACTCTTAGGCTCCCTCCAAAATAAAGGCTGTGATGTTTTTTCCTTTATCATATGGACTTCAGCAATCTTTCTAAGCATGTTAACTTATACACTTAAAGGAAACTTACTAGTATTTTCTTTTTCTTAAGACCTGAGAACTCTCTCTGTATTGCCATCTTGCTTTCTTTTTTGTATAGATGCCAATCCCATCTATTTCCTCTTTTTTTGTAAGGAGTTTCTGACTGACTATCCCTTTGACTCATATATGTTTAGATCAGGTTTAGCTTAACTCTAAGAAACTCTGACTTGGAGTCAGGAGATCTATGTTTGGGTCTTAAGCGCACAACTCACTGACTCTATGACCCTGGAGCCCATAAATAGGATTTTATTATGCTACTTTGCTACGTATTTATAGGGTAGTTCTCCAGTCATATGTATTCAAACTAGATTACAAATTCTTCAGAAGAATGGATGGAGAATTCTGTCAAAACTTGTAACAAGACACAATCAAAGTGGCAAGGAGCAATCTTTGCTAAGATTTTTCCATTTGTTCATTTTTTGAGCTATGAGTCTTAATTCCCATATGCAACTTCACCTCAAAAGCAGAACAAAGGGACTTTATTTTTTTTCTCCTCATGTGCACATGTTGTGGCAAGAACTAATAATCCTGTTGGATTCCATTAAATAATAGTGAAACTGTTCATCAGCATAGGACAATTGGTATTCCCCCAGGCCCTTTCCAAATGGCCCATTGAACAAGCTTGGTAATTCCAAAGGAAAAAAGAGAAAAGAAATGAGATAAACGAGATTAAAATAAAAACTACACATCTGAGTTTTTTCTTTTTCTAAATTTGGGCCCTACATAAAAGACTATATGCTCTACTGCCAAATCACAATATGCTAGCTTCCATCTTGAATTCACTCCATTGTGTTCATGGGGGTTTTAAAGCTTTTTAAAGTTTAATTATCAATTTGGGAAAGCCTTAGGAATGTTGCATAAATTCAAATTCAATTATGGGATGGGAAATAAGGCATCAATTTAAGTAAGAGGAAGTCTAAGTTAGAAGCTGCAAGATATAGAGTTGAACTTTTAAATTCTGGGGACCTTGGACATTGTTTCCTTTTTACTGCTTTTTTATTTATTTTTAAAATAAAAACTGCTTGGTTTTACAAAGTAATTGTTTTGAAAGAGCATAAAAACAGAAAGCTCAGTCTCACTTAGCATCAGGTATTTGCTTACAAAAAAGGGAGTAGGAATGCATCTATTCTTTAAATGATCGATTTTTGTATATCCTACTTAGTTACATTTGCTGAAACATATGGTTCATGTGATGTTGGGAAGCTAATATTCTATCTCTGATACTTTGGGAAGACTAGGCCTCTATCCCTTTCCCCCATGGTCTTAACAAATTTGGAAAGAGGAGGTTGTTTTAAAAGCAAGAACAACATTCATCTTAAGAATTGTATAAAGCAAAATAACAACTTTTATATTATACATTTGAGGTTGTGTAAATCTACTCAGAAAATTCAACTTTTAATATTTACCCAATGTTAAACAAAATGACACTATAAAGATATTGCAATATATTAAAAGTCAAATAAATATAAACTGTATCTATTGTACCATATTGATACAGTCAAGAAAGGGTACTGATATACTATTTTAGAATCATATTTAACTAATAGTTGAAATAAAATGATTTGCACATCACAGAAGATGACAGACTAGGAAGCCTCAGGAACTAGTCCTGCCACAAAAATAACCACTGAGCTGGCAAGAATTGTCAGAATCAACCATTTCAGAACTCTGGAGTATAGTAGAATATGTTCAGCTTCCAGAGAAGTGCTTGATGAAGAAAGAGATTGATATAGAAGGAAATCTTTGTCAGGTCACTGGGTGATTACAAAAATATTGAAACAAAGACTTCAGTGACCACACATGACAAGGAATACAGTCTTTGCAAAATTAGTTTAGAAAATCATCAAACAAATGGACGATTACAGTCCTCAAAAAGCAACAAATAACAACAACAATTCTGGGAG